GCATTAATTGAAGTTTGTTATCCCTTTCATTGTTGATGTATTCTTATTTGGGGTCATTGATTCATGCTATCTCTCTTTTCGTCGAATTGTACTTTTATGGAATTAGTGTTACATATTATCTCTCCTTTGTTGAGCTATTTTTGTTGAGACCATTATTCCATGTTGTGTATTTCTTTGTGATATCGTTCTTCCATTTCTTTGTGTTCTGAAGTTCTTGTGTTGATTTACTTGTCGTATTCTCGTGTTATAGTTGTTGTTGTTGTTGTACTTAGTGTAGTTGAGTCGAGGGCTATATGTGGTTGTGGTATTGAAACTGTTTTGAGGAAATATTATGGCATATAGGCATATGTAGTGAAAGTCATTTTATTGTGTTGTTATGTTTTGGCACACGTAGTATTGTTGTGAGGATTGTCGTGGTGTTCGCACGTGAGTTGTACGTGTTGTTATTATTTTTTATATTTGCACATGCAGCGTGACAAGGCGGGCTATATATGTGGTTTTGCGCATGTGGCGAGACAAAGTGGAAATATTATTGTGCGCGTGCGGCGAGACAAGATTGACATTTACTTTATTATTGCACATGTGGCAAGACAAGGTGGACTATATTAGGGAATGATTTGTGATGACTTGTGATGCCCTGGGGGCATTGTTATTGTTGATGTTTGTGTAGTGGTGTGCCTACCTTGTGTGAGTTATACCTTGTACATTTTGTGCGGATCATTTCTTATGTGTCATCCATTGTCTCTACTCTTACTTGTTGACTTGAGTGGTGATAGAACATTTGCACAAGCATACACGTAATTGATCACCCATATCGGTTTAAGAAGATGAATTCTGATGTTATTGACTATTTACATGTACTCCCGTGTACTTGCCTTCTGTGTGAGAGTTATCAGGTTGGCAAGTGAGTTGTTTGTGCAGTCATGAGTCATTGTTATTGTTGGCACGTGAGTGGTCTGTGCGGATATTAGATATTGTCACTCTCTTGGCACGTGAGTCGTCCGTGCGGTTATAAATTGTAACGTGGGCATAAGATGCCAAGTGATTAGGGTTCATGGATTGGGACATGTGATTTGTGATTATGAGGTTTGGTACCTCGTAAAAATTCTTGAATAAATCTGGTGTAAATACGGTGGTTCTTAATGAGTTATTACTTGTTTTCCTTTATTTGGTTTCACCGGACTTAGACCGTATTCAACTTACTCTACATCATTATTATCTGTTTGCTTCTTGTTGCTAATTGTTGTTTCTAGTGCTCATTACGAGTGTTGTTTTTGTCTTCCTTATCATGCTTAGCTTTATATTAATATTGTTTCCCCGTTAGTTCACCTTCATACTTGTTCAGGTTGTTTAGTCATGTAAGTGTCTTGACTGTCCCTCGTCACTACTCTACCGAGGTTAGTCTTGATACTTATTGGGTACTGCTATGGTGTACTCATGCTATGCTTTATGTACACTTTTGTGCAGATCTAGGTATTTCGGAGTTGGTTGATCCATAGCTAGTTGTTCGGATTTTGCTGTGGAGACTCAAGGTAAACCTGCCGTCATGTTCGCTGATTCAGAAGAACATCAATGGTGTATTTCACTATTGGCTTGACATTACTAATTAAAGATATTGTGTTATACGAACAATCAAATTTTAAAATTACTCAAGCTATTCATGCTTGCCATATAACTCGTGTGAGATAGGAAAATGTTTTTTTGAAATATTACTTGATATTCTTTAAGAAGGAATAGGAAAAGAAATTATAGGACGATGCGTCTGCAACACTATAAAGCAATAAAAAAAACTCTGTTGTTATATATTTTATTTAATTATTATTTATTATTTAGTTTTTTAAAATTATTTATGGTCACTTGACTAAAATAGCAACCCATAGCTTTCTCATTCGGGTACCCCATTTTCTGTTAATTAAAGGGTTTTTTCACTTTTAGCCCACGCCAGAAACTATTTACATTCGCTAGCCGAAAAAAGTATATAAAATTTGTATAATTTTGTATATAATATACATAATGTATATATATATACAAAAAATATACAGTTTTTCGACTATTATTTTGAGAGTGACATACAATAATCAATTTTCCTTAATTTAAACCCATCTACTACTCCTAGCCCGTTTTACTAGTAGACTAAACTAAGCCCAATACCCCAATACCTAGCTATACTATAATAGAAATTTATTTATCTATTTTTTCTATGTTTTGTAGTTTTTAATAAGTATCTAGGTATTTTTTATAAATTATATATATATTGCTCCTTAAAAGGCTCTCACCCTATTATTAATGCCTTCAATTAAGGGATTCAATTACATCATTTCCTTTTTTTCCCTCTCCTCTTTTCTCTCCTTCCTTTTTACATCAAAATCTCTTAATCTACGCCCAAAATCTCCATCTTCTCAATTCACAAATTATATACATTGCTCCTTAAAAGGCATGTGTTTTCTGCAGGCTTTGATTGCAGTATCATAAGCAAGTAAAGAAATTTTGAAGGACAACTAAGATTTCTTCCCAATAAAACCAATGAATTACGGGTGTTTCCTTGTAATATCAATAGGGACAGGATCTACATAATGTGAACATAAACATAATGCATCAATGGCAGCCAAATGGGGTATTGTGGATTGGTTATTTCAAAAAGGATCCACACCACTAATCGAAGTGTTCACCCAATCAAGTGTTGATTTGGTTGATTACCATAATTATGTTATTTTTCAAGCTCTACACATTGATAATAATTACCTTCGGATCTCCATCTTCTCTCTTTCCACCATTGCCAACAAATTTATATTATTGAAAAATCGTCAATTGCATCGTTCTTTTGCTGGGAGACTAGGTAACACTCAAAATGAAGAAATATTCAGGAATTGTATGATAACTATATCACAATTGGTATGAGATACATCAATGCCTAAAACACAATTATATCATACTTGTATCACAATTGTATCTAACTTATATATGGTATATTAATACCCAAAATAATACCTGATACAATACTAATAAATTAATATACAATTATCATATATTTGTGATAAAAACTGTAAAATTCGTCACGAACTCACAACTGCTCATAACAATATACAATGAATATATAATTATCATACATTTGCAATACAATTCTTTCAACAATTATGATACATATACAATTATAATACAATCGCGATACATTTCTGAAAAATTATAATACAACTATGATCGTCATCTTCTTCAAGTTTCAATCACAACTCGACACTAAAAATCTAATATAATCGTGTTATGATTGTATTAGTATTGTATCAAGTATTGTTTTGGGTATTGATGTATCATATATAAGTCACATATAATAAAGATTTTAGAAAGAAAGAAAACATGATTCAAAACTTACCCACACCTTGATTCTAGAGCAATATTCCAAATTTTGTGTGCATTGTATCAATAAGAAATTGAGATTTAGGGTGATTAGTAAGAAAGAGAGAAAATTATTAAGAAAGAGAAAAATATTTTTGACATCCTTTATGAAAAAAATAGAATCTTAAATGTAGGGGATTATTGAAAATGGGGGTGGGTATCGTGTAACTGACATGCTAAAATTAAGGGATTTTGAATTTTTTTCTTATTTATGATTTTGTATATAACTTATAAATATAGATATACAAAGTAATTGATAAGGAACCTAAATAAATATGGTAAATATGTTTCTATTATAGTATAGCTAGTTAAAAATCTCTAAATTAATCCCAAAACCCCAGACCAATTCCCCATCTTCCTCCTCGTTATCTTCCTCGCCGCAATACCCATTTTCCCTTTCCTTCATTTCTCTAATTATCACTTTAATTAGTTTCTATATTTCCTTTTATTATTATTATTATTATTATTATTATTATTATTATTTTTTTTTTCTTTCCTTTAATTGTTTTACCATTTTATTACTAACACTCTGTTTTGATCATTGTTACTATCATTTTATAATGTATTGTATTGTATTGTATCGTATCATAGCATTTTATGAATATAACGTTTGGATAGATTGTATTGTTTGCTATTGTTAAATAATATTTTGTTATTTGGTTTGACTGTATCGTACTGTACTGTAACTGATAAGTTTACTAAAATAACCTCAATTATTTAAATATTAAATTTATCAAGAATTACGCATAAAAATAATTTTAAAAAATCTGTTTCTACTGATTTATCACCAAATATGTCTTATAAATAGATTAAGCAATTAAATTCATGCAAATTCTAAAAAAATTAGTGGAACAAGTTAATAATATTAAAAATAATAATAAGTACACTCCAAAAAACTAGATCATAATAATAATAAAACAAAAATAAAATGTTAAAGAACCATGATAAAGAAAGGAACGAGAATGGGCAGAACATTCTGATAATATAAGGTTTTTAATGAGGCAGCTAGCAATGCGTATTATTAAATATGTGTATTCTTTTTCCTTTAATAGAATTTTTTCCCACAAGGTTTTTTCCTAGTAAGGTTTTAATGAGTCACATTATCTTTTAATGAATATACAAGGGGGAGTGTTATAAATATATTATATTATGAATGTTCATTTAGTACTCCGTTGTAAATAAGCTTCCTGAAAAAACTTATCCATATGAGACTCCGCCGTAAATATGTTTATCTATTTAGTAATCCATTGGAAATAAGCCTCCTCAAGAAGCTTATCCTTTCGGTACTCCGTTATTGATAAATATTACCCATGATAGAAGATTATTTATATCTGACACAACAACTTAGAGTACCAGCTTACAAGCAGCTTACACAGCAGCTTGCAGCAGCAACTTGCAGTAGCAGGTTACACAACAACTTCCTTTCTTCTATAAATAGAGGAGAATTCAGTTCATTATGTATATAAGTTTGAAGTTTGAATAATATATCAGTTTCTCTCTATACTTGTCTTTACTTTACTATCTTTATTTTATAACATAGAGAAAATACTCTATTTATAGTTTACTATTTTTCAAAAGTTGAGCCTGAATTTTCTATTTTCAATATTGGTTCCTCATTTAGGAATTTTGTCAAAATCAATCCAAAAGGTTTAAGAGAAAAAGAAAAAGGTAAAAAGAAAAACAAACTAGAGAAGCTGACCAGGGAAGTGGCTGAAAATCCGTGAGTTTGCTATCCTCCTTATCATTTGTTCAGTAATTGCTATTTTTATCCCCAATTTCCACGTTTTATTTTCACCGCACGAGTTATGATTGTTCGATAACTATGGGAAAAACCAATGTCAAGCTTGAAAGAATCGGAAAAAGAAAACCTGTGAAAGTTAATTTTAGACATTTCGCAGTGATGTTAAGATAGTAAAAATCAATATTTTTTTGCAATTAGAGAAGCCCACGCTGTTATTTCTGTGTGAATTTTTACTCTATCCATCTGATTCATGTAGTTCTCAGTTACCTATATAAGTATTCCCCATTTTGTTTCTACCCAGTGGAAAATCGTTTGTAGTCCAGATACAGCTGATCCTCTTACTCGCGCAGTTTATGTACTTGAATATTTTGTTGGAAATTATGCACACAGCCTGTTCGATGAAATGTGCATGTTGGGTTTTTTTTTNTAGTAATTACTATTTAAAATACCAAACATTTTGTTGCCTGGCTATGTTTTTTGAACATTCTAAAAACATTTTTATAAAAATATATTGAACTTAAATGTAGTTTCTAACTATAAAAACTGTATTTCCAAAAAAATAAATTAACGAACTAATGTCAAAATTCACGACCTTTCACTCTTTTTTGGATGGAAGAAGTACTTGTTGTCAATATGTATATGCTTCCTTTCCCTCAAATTTGATGTTAAAGTTAAAAAGTCCGTTCGGAGTATCTTTTTCGTGAATGCTGTACAATTTTAGCTGCATCTATTCGACTAATTTGGTTATGGTCCTATGGGCAAGCTTGTTCGTTAAATCACCACTTTGAACATGAACTAAACTTGCAAAGCAAATCAAAATTTCAATGAATTAACGCATCATAAAACCTTGTTACTTCAGTAAGCCAGTTGTTTATCATGCTCACCCTTCTCTTGTTATTTGCCGTGTTGTGTCTTCATGGTTTATATAGCTCTCTTTTCATAATATAACATCCTTTAGACTGCTTCTGAGATCAATCTACCCTAAATTCCCAGTCTTAATAAACATGGGAAGAAGGGTAGGCCGTGTTTAGTGTAACATTCATTGAGCTTCTTTCTGTTGAAGGTATTTCCCAGCTCATCGCCTGAATATAAAAAATGTGGCAGCTGTATGAAGGATGGAAAGAGATTCTGAAGATCCAAAAGTTCCGTAGAATTGTGTCCTATACTGGATTCTATTGTTTCACTGCACTCATCACATATGCATACACCAACAACACGTGAGTGTTTTATGAGTTTCTTATTACTTATATCTAATTAAAATAAGAAGTTGAACTGGTAGCTTTCTGGTTTTCAGAGAATTAGTAAATAGGTTTGAGCTTTTGATCATTTTAACCCTGTATAGCTGGTTATAATCATCTTTTGCAGATCTTCTTTATTAATATGCTAAGATATACCTTGACTTGAAAGCATCTTTGTACAAACCTCTGGCGTTCACGTAGTTGTTCTTAGAGATATGTTGTTTCTAATCACTATGTGGGTTTGGGTATTGCAGGACTAGAGCGGGGCACTCTAGAGATGACCAATTCTATGCTTCTTATCCGGCTGGAACAGAGCTCCTTACTGACACAGCTAAGGTCTGTCGCCGTTTTGCATCATATCTAAGGGATTCCTCTGTTCGGGCCGAGGAAGTCTGATTTCATGATGATGTGAAAAGTTTCACTTGTCATGGAGTTCTTTCTGTTTCATTACTGATTTTTGTGGAATTTGTTTTTTCTTTTTTCATTCTTAGTTATATAAAGCAGCGTTGGGCAATGTTTTTGAAGAGGAAGAATGGGGACCAATCGAATGGTGCGTCCTGGCTAAACATTTTGAACGCCAAGGGAAATCACCATATGCATATCATTCTGTAAGTTAATGATATCATAATTTTGCTATTCCCAATTTTACATTTTATACGAGTTTGTAATGCCTTATTTGTTTTATACTTAATGCCATAGCAATTTTCTCTTCCTTTCATACATAGAGCAAAATCCCTTATTTTGAGGCTACTGGTTCCAGCATGTAAATCGTTCAGATGCTAGATTTCTATATGACATTAGAGAAAGGGTGTTGCAAACTACTCATGTCTATAAAGGTCTAGGATGTTTGAAACCCGCATTTTGCATTTCTTAAGATAAGGAGAGAAAAAACACTAGGTGATTTCTTCCCATCTTCCGAAGCCTTGGCGTGCATAATTCCTGATACTTGTGCTGTTGGGAGATAACATGTACCTGGTGAAATAATTGAGGTGCGCACAAGTTGGTCTAGACACCACCATCATAAATAAAGAAAAGGAGAATGAAACTTATTATCCCAGCTTATCAAATTAAGAGGAAGCTGCACTAAGTTGTCCCATTAAGTATAGTCATAGACTAAAATCTTAATAGCTCATCGTGTATTCCACATTGGAATCTGGAAAGTTACATAATGACGTGAACTAATCCTGTAGAGTAGGATTTGCTTACTATGTTCTATCTCAATGTCTAAGTTTTTATACATAAACGTATAAGCACACCTCTAATCTTATTTTTTTCATTTGCATGACGGTCAAGCAATACATGGCACACCTCGTTTCTCATGGACAGCTAGATGGGAGTGGCTAGCGAGAGCGCATGCAGTAGCAGCAAACACCTCCTTTACTGACGAGTCAACACCTCTCATCTACATCTTGAGCAGCCTTAAATCAATGCTTGAAGTAAATTATGCAGCTGCGGCTTTGTTAGTAACTTCTTACGCCCTGACATTTATTGGCTTTACGGAACACATTTTATACAATCCAAAGATGCTGAAAATGTTATACTTTGAATACTCTTAAATCAAGATTCATATTAGCGGATCTTTTTGTAATTGAAACTTCCCTAATTTCTGCTCCTTTTATAAATTGAGGGTGGTTATTCCTTCACTGCCAGTTTGGTTTAGAAAATAAAATTCTGCTCGTTTTACTTTCCATGATATCTGCCATTTTAGGCATCGTCCATGCAGAATTTATATGATATCATTCGCTGAGGTTTTTTCTTTTATTTTCCTAGACTAGATGGTTTTTCTGCAACTGCATAATTTTGGTCTATATTGATAGACCAAAATAGCCCTACAATATTAAACAGAAGAACTCACAGGGAAAAAACATAATTGTAATAACTTATTTTTTAAACTACAATAACTTCTATGTTTATTTTTTTAAAATATTTAAGATTTTAAAATTAATACAATCTTGTCCATTGAATTCTTATTAAAAATATATAGGAAGGTTTAATAAAATCAATTTCGTAAGAATTCTCCATATTGGCAATACATTACAACTCTATAATATTCAATACCAAGAAAAAATAGTAATGTTAAACGGACTGCATAAAGCGTTAAAATTGAGAAAACAAATCCTCACGATAATATATAATTATTTTATATTTCAATTGCTTTCCTATTAATAATATTTTTTATTGTTAATTTTTCATGCAATATTTAAAAATATACCCAATTATTAAAGAAGAACTAAGAAAATTTTTAAGAATATAAATGTGTGAGAAAGAGAAAAAAAAAAGTTTGGTAAGAGTCAATACCACTAATGATTTTGCAAACATAAAGATCTAAAAGTGGAATATCGATCTTTTTTCTATTTGAAAATAAAATTTATGGTGGATAAAATTATAATTACGGTTAAATATTCAAACATGAGATGAACTAATATTTATAATCCGAATCAAAAGAAAATAAATTATTTTTATGTTAAACACAAATAATCAAATCTTTCAATTAATTATTTAGCAAGAGAATCCAATTAAAATCATTTTTTAAACTCATCATATAAGAAATTATATTTCAAGTTAAAAAAAATCTTAGGGTACATAAATTTATTCCATAAAAAGAGTGTTAGATATTAAAAAATTAGATCACAAAGTAAAAAAGATTAGTATAATATTAAGAAGGTCATACAAGTGTTTGAGGAAGCACAATGAAAGCTAAATCCTAAACAAGAATAAGCTTTCAAGGTCGAAAACGAAGAAGAGCATATAATAAAAGATGATTTGGTTTTTCTAGAACACTTGGCTATCAACCCCAACGGTAATAGTAGTGTATTTAATAAGAAAAATATTTTCATCATTAGATTAAAACACAATTTGTGAAATTACATGATAGAAATTAAAGAGCTATCTTAGTTAGCAAAAATAAATATGTTGATCAACTAAATAAAAGGTCGATTGCTAAGTTTTATGGTAAAAATAAAATATTTTTCAGTTTTGACTTAGCAAAAGATAATACCAACAATTACTACCAAGAAGAATACTTAAATACTTTAATACCAAATGGCCTTCTACCCTACATCTTTGCTGCCAAGTTCATTATTTCTTACATATGTTAGTGTCATCATATATATAATAGACTAAATTAAAATTGATCTTCCATTGCATATAGGTTGATTTTGAAGAAAAAATATGACTGTCATGCTATTGAAAACTCTGCTGAATAGCTTATGTGATAGTACATATATGGTATGTAGAAGTTTTGACAATAACGTCATACATGCAGAACTTACGATACCGGTCAATGTGCTTTTAAGTATGTGTTTATTCCCGAATTCAACTTTCGTCTTCCGAAACTAAAAAATATCCTTTTAAATTTGTGTGAAAATAATTTTCAGTATGTTTATGTTTTGTAGTTATAATAAATAAAGCACATGAACAAACATCCTAAATATTAGAGTATATTTACAACAATATATTTTCTTATACGAATAACTATATGTTGCACTTTCAAGAGAGATATCAATATCGATAATAAAAGTTCTGGTTAAAGAAGAGCAACCAAAGCATTAGAAGAAAACATACACAAAAAAATATTATCTATAAAGATGTGTTTGGTAAGATACCATCACATTAGATACCTTTAAACTACAATACATAATTATCTACTTAACATGACTAAAAATTGATCATTTGTATCAGTTCTGATGATGTCCTTTCATTTTGAATTCACATATTATGCTAATGCAATAATATTTTTTGGCATTTAGATGATTGTTGTATTATTATATATAAAATTTATCTCATTAATTAAATTTTATTGTTCCTTCACATAAATAAATATTTAAACTATCATGTGTCATTATTAACGTGCAACACACGTTTATAGATACTAGTTATTATAAAAGTACGGAGGCTAAAAAGCTAAGTGTTGATTGATCAAAATATCTCTAAATTTAATAGACTTTTATACCCTTAATTATTTGTGTTAATTTTCATAAGTCATAAAATTGGGACAAAAAGGAAAATCCAAAACATTAAGACAAAGTGTTGTAATAGAATTGGGATCACGTTAAAGTCTAAAGAGTCCAATCCTAGCTCCTATAGTGTATCAATGTCACATGAGTCTATTTGGTTAAGGTTTGTAGAAATATTTGTCTTTATGGCTGAACGGCAGCGTGTCTTTACTCCTTGTAATTAATTATGAATCTGATATTTCTCAAGTATAGTTCTCTTCTGTGTATTCTTTGTTTCGTGAATGAGAAACTCTCTCATTGAACAGTTCGAATCAAGTGTTTCCACTCTATCTTTTAACAATATTTCAAAAACAGAGAAATATATCAATCTATACTCTATTTTTTATGTAACATGTGTTGTGCCTTTTTTGCTCTAAACCTTTAAACTAATCAAGATCTGAATCTAACAGTTTGACAAAAGACATCATAAGCAAGACACCAACTATTCAAGAAAATAAGTCATAGAATAGAAACATCAAAAAGAGATGCACTATCAGCGACTTCTGGAATAGTCTCATGGACGTGGTAGAAGGTGAAAATCTACCTTTTTTTTTAAAACATTGGATTCAGACATTAAAAAAAGTCTTTGGTATGGAAAAGTCATTTTTCATACAAATATTTTGATGAAATATTTTAGTACTAAAAATAAAAAACAATGTCCAACTGTTAGTTAAAGCAAGTAATATGGAGTTAAAAGTTATAGTTATAAGAAAAATAACTTCCGTCCATAAGTGAGAAAATTCAATTTCCCATTTTAAATGAAAAATATTTTCTATGATAGAAAATGACTTCTGTTATACTAAATACACTAGTATTAGAATCTGCGCGATGCGCAGTTAATATTAAAGAATATTAATTATTTAAAATTATCATTTATATTTTTAGTGTATTATATTACGTCGTAAATAAAATTTTAACTGACATTTACTTCTCGGTACAATATTCATTAACTAAACTCTTGAAATATTTTTTGTATTTTGAAGTTTATTCAATTGTTCTCAGTAATTGGCAATTTTTTATTATAGCTAATTTTATTTTTTCTTATTTTTGTTTTTTTATTTTAAAATAATTTTAAAACTTCAACTTGAAACTACTCCCCAATTTGAATGCACTATAACTGATTATAAGATATCTTATTTATTAATTCAAATAAATAGAGTAACCAACCAATTAATTCAAAATTTAAAATTCAAAAGGTTTTTTAGTTAGAAAGGTAGTTTGTTTTGTCCTAATGCTACTTGGCTTTTTGTGGTTATGCCACTTGTCTTAATATTGTGCTTTTACCTCTCCTTTTATTATATATAGATAAGCATGTAATTTCATAATTCTACGAGTTGGTTCTTTATTAGATCTCATGCATGATTACAACAGTTCATCATTTTAAGTAAGTTATACAGTCAAACATCTCTATAATAGCATCGTTTGTTCCGAAATATTTTGACTTTTATAGTGAATAGTTATTATACACCTATAACAGCATTTGGCATTTGAATATATTTTGGTTGTTATAGACAAAAATTATCCAAAATATAATATATTTTTTTTCTTTTTTAATATTACATATAAAGGTAAAAAAATATATAAATTCAAAATCTCAAAAGATATGAATATTTCACGAATTAAATGCTAAAGAAATCTAATACATTATTAAAAAAATTCATAACTAAACGTATAAATATTTAAACTCTAAGGCACACAATTAAATCTTTCAAGATTGATGGAAGAACTCCATAATTATAGCTTGTTTCGTAGATTTCAGTCTCTTACTAGCGGTATAATGCTTGAATCGGCGAAGATTTGCATCCAAACTTTCAGCAAAAGGATATCCAATTATTTTTCCTTGAAGGCAATCTAAAAGCTTAACAATTGAATCTTTTAAGTATCTTTTGGCATTTTTCTCATGAAAAATATATCATTTGAATATCTTCAAAAAAACATAATAATAATGTGCATATTTTCATGGAATGTACTGTTATCTTTAAGATATATATTTCCATTATAAGTTTTATATTAAAGTTATACAATATTTGATTAAAATATTTAGAATTATTATTAATAATAATCTTAGAAAATCTACATGGCTGTTATAGAGGGGTAATTTTACAAAGAGTGTACTGTCATAAAGATGGTTGTTGCTGTTATAGGTAGAAAGCTGTTATAGAGAGGTAAAATATAACATAAAAAATCGATTCTGAGATAAACTATGCTTTTATAGTGAATGACTGTTATATAGAGATACTGTTATAGAGAGGTTTCACGGTAGTAAGTGGTCTTTTATTCTTGTTCTAAAATTCTCGCATTTGTTGTGGAAGCTATTAAGGGGGAGTTGGAAACTATATGTCCATTGAGCACATTTTACATGACACAATTAGCATTAAAAAAATGATTAGCCAATGTAGGAGTTGAAATGGGAAGATAATTTAATGGTTTCACAAAAAAAAAAAAAAAAAAAAAAAAAAAAAAAAAAAAAATCAGTATTAGGTAAGATATATACGACCACATTATATATTTGTACACTATAAATTAAATATAAAAGTTATCTAAGTAACTTAACTAAATTTGATCATTTATGCTGAGGTTCAAGTGATATACAATAATTGTATACTAATATCACTACCGGTCTTAGGGGAGGGTACTTAAGGGGAGGATAAGGGTACTTAGAGGTATTT